GTGGGAGCGGGGCTGTGGGGATGGCAGAGCGAGCTGAGGGCACCCGTGACTGCTCTTGTGCCCAGCAGTGGCACTGGGTGAAGCCCCAGAGGTGCTGAGGAACTGTGTTGGAGCCCACAGGGGTGTCCTGGTGCCTAGCCCCATGACAGCAGTGCGGGGTCACACCTCTGGGTGCCATGAGTGACACTTCACATGGTTTCCACCTCTTGTTCCCTTCACCAGTGCGGATGCTGGAGAGAGATGGGCAGGAGAAGCCCTCAGCTCTCCTGGAACAAGCTCATGTGGGCACCAGGCCTGACAGGTCAAGGTGCACTCAAGCAATGCTTTCAGTCACAGCAGAGGATTGTCAGAGTGTCCTGTGCAGGGCCAGGAGCTGCACTTGGTGATGCCTGTGTGTCCAGCTCGGGATATTCAGTGTTTCTGGAAGGCAGGAGAGAGAAGGTGGAGCTGGGGTGATGCAGAAGGAGCAGAGTGTGCTCATTGCTCCTCCACGCGCTGCCTCTGGCAGTTTTCCACTGTGTCTCTGCGTGGCTGTCCCAGAGCCTGGAGCTGCTCCTGGCATAAAAGCACAGGGCTGTGAGGGATGTCCCGAGGCAGCAGCTGCTGCAGCCAGGAGCGCCAGAACACGCTGTGCTCTGGTCACTGCTCCTGTCTGTGCTCCAGCCTGCAGGCAGCACCGCAAAGGCTCAGCCTGGAGGAGTTTCCGCCCCAGCTGCTGGAGGTGATGAGGAAGGGGTGATGCACACCCCAAAGACCTCCTCTGAGGCTTTGGGAGCGCCTTTCCAAGGGGTAACGGGCCAAGCGGGGGCCACTGATGAATCGGATGCAGGCTGATGCTCCATGTGTTGGCACAGTGGGCTAATTTATCACGCGGCAGAGAGGTGGTGGAGCTGCCAAAGTTGAGTAGGCATTGCTGATGGTGAGGCGGATACATGCCAGCAATTTACAGTACCAGGATCAAAGGACTGCTGAAGTAAAAAAACAAGTGCAGAATGTGTGCATTTGAGGAAGGATGGCACCTGTGAAGCCTTCAGAGCTTGGAAGGTAGCAAGGGATGTGCTGTGACTGGGATTGGTCACTTCTGGCTTGTTCAGGTTCCACTGGAAACTGTAATTTACTGTTTTACCCATTAGAATGAGCAGCCTTCCTTCTCTTCTCTAGTGCTGGGTTCTTTTGGGTCCCACCCTCTTATTTTTTTTATGCTTTTAATCTTTTATGTCATTCTGACTTTCGCTATGAGGGTCAGATGGGCAGAGGCTGCTTTTTACGTGTTGAAGGAACAAAACCAGATTTCACAATGCAGCTGCAGAGCATGTGCAGAACCAATCTCAGTGTGACCTGAGAAGTTGCAGATTTTAGAGACATTGTTACCTCTGTGAAAATGGCTAATTCCTCATTGTCTCAGCTTCAGAAAAATCAGGAGTATTTTAGGATGGCAAGCTTTAGTCTCTTCCACACCAGGACAATTCACTCTCTGAACCTGGAGTTTTAAACAGAAAGGGAGACATGATGTTCTCCCATCTGATTAAATTAAAATAGCATTGGTGTGAGATCAAGCTTACACTGCAAACTAAACACAAGCTGGAATTTGGTCAGAACTTACTGCTCCTCTGAGTTTTTGCTGTAGTAAGGGAAGGTAGCAGCGCCTGCAAAAACAGGAGCCGTGCTCTTTCCCCACAGAAAGAACCCCTAGTTTTTAAAGATGTGAAGTTTGTCCAGGACTTTGGCATCTATTGGTTAAAGGATGCTGCTCTCAGGGTTGCATCTCATTTAGAAATGTAACACAAATTCCTACTGTAGATCCATCTGCCTGTAGTAGCTCCTAATAAAATGGATCAACCCATTAAAAGTTGGAAACCAGCCAGCAGGGCAACCCAGGTTTGGTTGCGTCAAGTGAGGTACTTTTTTAGCAGGAGGTGGAAATTAAACACTTACTCAAGACTTGCAGCTTAAGTTGGCAAGGTTTTCTCACTGTGTCCATCCTGTTACGGATTTCTTTTACTATGGGTGTAGTGACACCAAGGGGGAAAAAAAAATCTTGTGGGAAAAGGTATGGTAAGATGGATTTTGGCTAATTGCAGTGGACTTAGGGACACTACAGCAGCCAGACAGCAGACTTCTGTGAACTGCAGAGTGTGGGAATGGGAAACACAAACCTGCTTCAGAGCAGGGATTTAGCTCTGAATTAGGCTACAAGAGAGCACAGCCTGCTGCAGCCGCTGCCAGCAGAGGGGCAGGAGCAGTCACATCCAAGAGCCTGGAAATGTGGGCAGGAATTGGGGTGAGGTGTAAGCAGCAACCTCTGCCTCAAGTGTGGGTCCTGAAGGAGGACTTTTGGCACCAGGCCTGCAGAGCTTTGTCTCCTCCTAAGCCAGGCTGCCCTGTGGGGCTGAGCAAGGTGCTGCTGTTATGGTCTGCATGTTTGGAGAGGGTGGGAGGGGTAATTTCACCTTTGATTCTGGCAGCTGGAGTGGAGCAGCACTCAGCACCCCGGGAATGTTTATGGGAACCCACCAAGGCCTGGAGCACGAAAACCAACCCTCAGGAGTGGGGGGGTTGTGTGGGAGTCACACTCCTGACCCTAAGGGCTACAAATCAGACCATTCTCCCAGGGTTTTTCATTGGTTAAGTGAGCATATTAGGGTAAAGAAGATTTATAAAAAGTAAGGAGGTGGTTTTCCAAGTCAAGTGGGGATTTTTGGCAAGTGTCTCATGTTCAGCATGCTCAAACAGTGCAATTTTTTTGGAACTATCTGAGCCCTTGGTGCAGCAGGTATAATTCACTGCCCTACTCAGTAAAAGGCTAGGAGCCATCACAGCCAGGAATGTTCTCTTCTGTTCCCATGGATACCTTGAAAATTGCCCTTCCACTGTTGCCTTTCTGTTCCCATCTATCCCTGTGGCTGTGTGTGCTGTGTTTGGTGACTGGAAGCGTAGCAGCAGGGTTTGTGTTCTTACCAAACATGGAAGCAGTTGTGTTATGATAGCAATTGCAATGAACTTCCAGGGGCAACAAGCTTCCACTGACACATGCCAGGCACCCAGGTACGCCAGGTCAGAGCCAGGGAAGTGAGCCAGGTGGTTGCAAAATGCAAAATGTTTAGGTGCAACACCCCCACTGTCGGGAAAAAGAAAATACTTCGTTCTTTTCTTTGTCCGGTTTCTTTGATTGCCTTGATTCTGGTCCCAAAAGGCAAGGTTGCCTTCAGGGGAAGGAGGCAGATAAAACTTATGGGTAAACATGGAGAGCTGAACTTGTAAACATTCTGTTCTGGACCTTGGCTTCACTGTGGATGTGGCCAGTGTGTGACGCATGGGAGCACATGTGGGCAGAACATCTCCAAAGGTCTGGAGCCACTCAGCTCTCCCAGGGGCCAGAACTTTGTCTTGCAGGCAGGTCCTTCACTCAGCACCTTGGAAGGTGGAGAATTCTGTCAGTCTTCTTCTCATGCTCTCATCAGAGCTCTCGTGTTACCATAGGAACTTCACTCCAGTGGTTTTGGTGCTTGAGGCTTCCAGCATTTTTGGGCTACAGATATTGAAGGTCTTTCTGCACATCTGTAGGCTCAGACTGACATCACTTTTTCTTTTAATTGTTGTGTAATAACAAGGATAATTTAAATGTTTATCTAAACAAGCACGTGACTTCTTTCAGAGCTGGTCCATTGCATTCAAAGGACTTTGATGTCTGCAGCTCTGATCTTGTGCAACCTCCTCACTCATAACAACCTTCTACAGGGAGTTGGCACCGGGGCACGGTATAAAATTTTAAAGTTAGCTAATAAATAGCCACTTTTGTTTCCTCCACGTGCAGCTTGTAAACTTAGGAAGAGATAAAAGTTTGGCTGAGTGGTATTGAGAGGTGGGTAGGTGTTAGGGTCTTCAGGGGAAGTTTTATGGCATGTGGGGCTTAAACTGAATGAAGTCCTGGTTCTAGCTTGGGACCCAGTTGTGAAAAGTGCAAATTCCATGAAGTTCATGTTGCAAAATAAGTGATATCACACTCTACACTCAGCTGTCCTGAATTGCTGCAGCAGAGATGGGGCGTCCTTGGCAGCGTGCAGCCTGCTCTGTGTAAAGCAGCTGCATTTCTCCCTCCACACCCAGGGAATAGGTTGTAGCACATGTTTCCCGGCACAACCAGCTGGCTCTGGCCATCCATGTACAAGGAATGAAAGGCTCTGGGGTTTTCAGCCCTGTTGGGTGGGAATTTTTAACTTGCCTCACTGGAAAGGCTTGGTTGGAGATGTTTTGCGTCTTTCCCGTGCTGCTCAGACGTTACAGGATGCCTGCCAGTTCACACAGACTCATGTGGAGCTTGGGCTGCAGCTGTGAGCTGTGGAGAGAACCGTCCTGAGGTTGAATACGTCACCAGGAGTTCTCTGAAGCTGCCTCATGTGTCTTTGCTGTCATGTTCGGTGCAGCCTGTGGAGTTTTTAAAAGTGGAAGTTTCAAATTGTACATGTGTGCAGTGCAGGTACACATCTGTTGAATCTCTGCTTCACTGATCCTTAAGGCAGTTCAACTGCAAGCTCTCTTGAACAGGAAAAAACCTGTCAGCTTGGTTACTTGTCCAAGAGAAGAGCTCAGGTTGCAGATTTTGCAGCAATATCAGGAAAATCAAGGTTGTGATAGAAATTTGTCAGCATTTTGACAAACTGCTGTGAACTGAAATGAAAACTGAGAAATAATGTTGTGAACATGCAATTTGTTATTGCATACATATGACACATGTGAAGAGCTTTCCAGCTGTTGGAAGGTGGAGCCTGTAAAGGAAAGTGAGAAGCAAGCCAAAGGAAACTGACATGTCAGAGAATTGTAAATCTCTATTCCATGGAGGCACATGGTCATTATAATAAATCTCTGCCATAAACTGTTAAATGAAGATGCCCTGAAAGGAGGAAGGACTGCTTCTGATAGCAATGACAAATACTGATGTGCTGAGTTACAACATTTGCTAAGGACACAGTTCAATACTAACCACCTCCTACTTTGTTCTTCATTTCTAGGTCAAGATGTTGTTAAGTATAAAAAGTATCTTATGGATGTACTCTACGTTAGTTATAACATATATGCTACCTAAAGGTAAGTCTTCTGTACACAGATCATTTCATTAAAATTAATTTAGTGGTCTGATTGGTAGGGCATTTCACAGGACTGAGGAAACAGCCCAAACTCAGGAAATTGACTGTCTCTGTCTCTGCCATGCTGCACTGTGTCACCAATTTAATTTCTGTGTCCTCCACAAGGTGGTGAGGATTTATATCTGTTGTGCTTGGGTTGCCATGAGCTGAGCTGGGGCAGGTTCCTTGGCTGCTGGGGTCTGGAACTAGGAGGTGTTAGGGCAGCTGCAGGTTTGGGTGGAAAGGAAGGAACCCTTACTACTTCTCTTGGTCATTGCATGCTAAAACTGGAGTATGTACCCATGTGTGGTTGCCATGGTTATTTGAAAGTTTGGGTCAGGCCTCCAGTAAGGGAAATGTCCCAACAGCTGCTGCAGACTCACAAAATTGGGAAAGCAGCTTTCCCAAGTCTCAAAGCAAGATTTTCTTCATTTTCTTTCCCCTTTCTTTCCAGGAACTCCTCAAACTGATTCTAGCCTTCGGGAAAATCGAATTTACTACTTTTTTTTTTTTTTTTTTCCCACCTAGCTGGAACACTTGCTAGTAGCATCTTTAAGTAGTTCTGAATGATAAAGAAAAGGACTGGTTCATGAGTGGAACCAATAATAATAAAAAAAAAAGAGATAATAGATTTACATTGGCTATAAGGAAGAAAGGTCTGGATCAGACCACAGACCTGACTCACTGCCCTGCATAAATGCAGAATTCAGGGATACAGGGATTGAGAGGGCAGCACTGTATGTGGGGAGGAGTCACACGGATCCTTGGAGCTGTAGAACGTGGGATGGCATCCTCACATGTGTCCTCTCACTTACTCTACCTTTTATTACATCTTAAATGGCTCATCTTATCTCCAGAGTGGAATTCTTGTTACTTAGCAGTTTTTAATGAATGTCCCATTCTTTGGAATGTAGACCAGGTTGTGACCCATCCTTATTTGCTGAAATTTTTTCCAAAGAAATTCAGAAAGACCTTGATGTGTTCCCAGAACACACTGTGAACTTTGTGGAGTTTCATTTTTAAGTTGGGGGCCATTCTTTTGCCCTACAGTCTTAACCATTTTCAAGCTATGCCCATAGTGAGGAGAACAAGAATGAAAAAAAATTTTCCTTTTTTGTGGATTTATCTAATTCACGATCCCAAAGAATCTGTGGGATCAACTCATGTCTTTATGTTTTGTTGAAAAGTCAGTTGGTGCAAAAATATTTTTGAGGATGAGTTTTAGAATACTGCACACAATCTTCATATAAGTATGGCTTTTGTTTAAAAATACTCTAAAAAGAAAATGCATCTCGGCATCTCTGAAGAGATAGACACCCTAAGTTTAAACCTTTTCTTTTTAGATCCTTAACTTGGATTTTAAAATTGAAACCTTTAAATCTTTTGTGAAACACCAATTCCCAGCTTATCACTGTCATGGTTTACAACCTGGACCTTGTGGTTATAATCAACACTGGAGTTTTTCCTACCTGTTTTGAGTGACCATTTGTGGCATTTTGTATAGTTCTGCAGCTGAGATTTGCATTTGCCTGGCTCCTTGTGAGTGTCTTGCAGAGTATAAAAATAGTTCTCCATCACTCTGCACGTCCTTTTCTTATTCTGCTTGCTCAGACCACAAACCACCTGGTAAAGGACTCAGGGAAGGCTTTTTTTGCATCTCAGTTCATTACCTGTCAGCGTTTCCTACAAGTTTCACTCATTTTAATTCATTATTATCTTCACCAAAAGACTTGTGGTTAATGAAAAGGCTTCTCTTAGGCTCAGTGCTGGTAGCTGGGTTGACAAAACACACAATTTCACTGATCCTTTCTATTTCTGCTGCTAGACAGGGCATTGTACCATATGTCCCAGCAGGTTGTTGATGAACTGGAAAATGAGATGCAACATTTTTTTTTCCCCCCATAAATTTAGCTAAAAATAAATAGAATATTTTATTCTTCAAGCATGTGGGATTTGTCTGCATAGTCAGCAGCAACATTCTGTTCAGTTAAACTCAATTATGTGGCAAATTCACTCCTCTAAGCAGCGTCACACCATGCAGGGCACTGTTTTCTTCAGACTCCTTGTCCACTGGCCTAGGCATTGTGGTCAATGGGATACAGAAGGGCAGAATTCTGTCCTTTTGAAAAATTACCTAGACTCCTACTTTAAGAATTGTAGGACTACAGAACAAGTGAACACATTTTGGAGAAAAGAGACTTTGTTCTCAAGCAAGAATTCCTTTCTTCCTGCCTCAAAAGGAAGACACCCAGCTATGTGTCTTTGGCCTGCCACATCCCATTGATAGGGGCTGACATGGAATATAAGCTTAGCAAAAATGCTAAAGGGGAAAAAAAAAAAAGGGTTATATGGATTAATATAAGATACTGACAGTTTCTGCATTAGTCAGTAACTTCTGCCAAACTAACATTAATTACGACTCCTGCGAGAAATCAGGCGTTTTGGAACTGTGCAGGAACATCACTTAATCTTGTATTTCAGATATTATGTCAGCCAAATACTTTATTTTTCTGTAGGGAAAAACTATCTCTTCCTCCTTCCTCCTCCTCCTCCTCCTTCTTCTTTGTCTTCTCCTTCTTCCCTCCCCTCACCACAACAAATAGTTTTTTATAAAGTTTGATATAATGCTTTCTACAGTTGGGCAGAACTGCAGCTACACAGAATCTTCTGTTCTGGGAATTAATTTAGGCTGCATCTAGTCTGCATATCAGGATGATACGTGTTGTTTGCCAAGGCTTCCAGCTGGCTGATGTGAAGACACGAATTTTAAAGGGAGGAAATTTCCTCAGGGTTCAGCGCTGATATTCCAGGTCACTCATAATCAGAAACAATGTTCTTAAAAACCTTATTAAAGTTCTGTCAGTCAGTAAAGTTATAATTAAGTCATTCTTCATTTAAGAAGAAAGTTCCTGTAAGGTGTATAGATGACAAGAGATCATAATAAATTCTAAATATTTTGAGACTGATTTTAATCTCCCACCTGTGCAATTTGGCAGGAATTCCATCACAACTGAAAGAACTGAGAATTCATTCTGTTTCTTTATCTCTAACCACTGTAACTGTGGTTAGATTTCAATAAAATGAAGAGATATAAAAGATCTCTGGTTTCATCAGTTTTGCTGCTGTCATCCTGACTCTTATCTGAATGGTGTGCCCAAGGAATTCTAGTTTGGTAGTCATGGGTGGAAAGGACCCAAGAACTTCCATTCAGAATTCTGTGTCTTCCCTGTCAGTCCATTTTTCTCTTTTTCTGACTAGCACTTTATTATTGAAATGCTTGGGCATTAAGCTGATGCCTCTTGTATTAAACTTGTTTAGATAATACCATTAAGACTTTGTCCTGTGGAAAACCATCTGTCTGATAAAAATAATCAGATTAATGAGAATTTTTCCATTTTTCTTTTTTTTTTTCCTTCACCCCCCCATTCTTTTATGTTTTCTATTTTTTTTTCTTCCCCCCCCTTCTTTTTCTTCTTGTCCCTTTTTGCTCCTCTTCTTCAATTGTCTCTCTCTGCCCACCCTTCCATCCCATCCTTCAATCTTCTACTCTTTATGGAGAGGTGATATTTTTTATTATAGATGAACAGATAATTTTCATCTACTGGTGTCTCCTGTTTTATGTATCACTCTCTTGATGGCTATTTTTAAGTTATTATATTTCTAAATTTTATGAATCCTGTCTCCCTTCAAAATAATGATGATCATGTTCTACCTTTCAAAAATGTTAGAGTGAAGGACTGTGAAAGTGGTAAAACAGTCACTGTTGTGCATCAGCTTTTGATCTTCATTAAGCCATTATGTGTCATGAAGTAACATCAGATAAAAAAGGTAAATCTATCAGAAACCTTCTCTTCAGTTGCAGTGTGCAGCTTGGATGAATAGTAGTCAACTTCCCCCTCAGGATATTGTCAGATGGAAGCATTTCACTATGAAATGTTTGCAGCTGGAGATGACATAAAAAATGATAAAAGTCCTGATCATGTCAAGTCTCAGCCAAGTAGGGACTTTCTGCGTGCTTTACTTCCTCCTTTGCTTTTACATCCTGAAATATTTCATTTCTGCAATGTGTGAAAGGCCCTAAGGCTACAAGGAAAACAACTTTGAAAGAGTGGCTGTTTGGGAGACTCTCACTGGAAAGGCTTTTGTCTCGGCACATAAAAAGAATTAACCCCTGAGAGAACGGTGGGGTCAGGGGTGACAGGGGTGCAAAGCCATGGGCTGTGTTTCCTTCTGAGGACAGGAACAGCTGCTGTGAGGCCAGGCAAGGTGTGAACTCCAGCAGCCCCCCTCCATTCAGGGTTTTGGCCAGTGAGGTAACTCATCATTTTTCACTCAGAGTGGTCTTCCCCCTGTGAATTGAAGAAATGGCTCTTACAGTTCATCTGTCACCTAAAATTTTAGACCAGTCTCCAAAGGTTAATTACTTGGTGACCATAACAAATGGAGAAAATAAGTCAGAATGAAATTTTCCCAAAGAGAAATATGCTCCATCATCAGCCTAAGGTGTACAAAGATTGATACAAACCCTTGTTCAGCTTATATTCCCCAGTCCTGTTACAAATCAGCTAAGGTCCATGGATTTCAGACTTTGCATTAGTGAATCATTACTTAACAATGAAATATATCTGTTTCTGATTTTGCTCTTACAAATTACACTAACATGATTTCTCCTTTCTCCCTCCTCGCCCTCTCCTCTTTTTTCCAGTGAAAGCAGAAAAAAAAACCCTGGTCAAGGGATCTCTCTCTGGAACTTCAGTCCTGCCATGCTTCTTTTCAACCACACCCACCATATCCTCCAGCTACGCCGCCGAGTACCTCCGGATCAAATGGTCCAAGGTGGAACTGGACAAAAGCGGGAAGGACGCCAAGGAAACCACGGTCCTGGTGGCCCAAAATGGCAACATCAAAATAGGCCAGAGCTACAAGGACAGGGTGTCTGTCCCCAGCCATTCCGAGGAGAGCGGGGACGCCTCGCTGACCTTCTCCAAGCTGCGCGCCAGCGATGCCGGGGTCTATCGCTGCGATGTCATGTACGGCGTGGAGGACACACAGGGCATCATCTCTCTGGCTGTTGAGGGTAAGGATTTGTCTGTTTCATCTGTGGCCAGCAGTGAATCCAGTTAAATCAGCGAAACTTAGTAATTAACACAAAACTAGAGAGGATTTAAAGGAGTGTCTTTAGCGATTTGCCCTTTGAGTAGGGCGAAAAGAAGCAACTTATGATGGAGAGGATGAAAACTTAGGATGAAAAGAAGCCACTGAGTCTGTAGTTGACCTGTCTTGGTGTCCCAAACTATGCCATCAAAGGTGGGAGCCATTCTTCCTGGGAAAGGAACATCAAGCATGAAGGAAGTGCTTCTTTTTGGCCAGTAATAAATTTTGGACGGGCAGAAGGAAAACTCTTCTGGGAGTAGCTGCAAGAAAAGAGGTAGGGAGGTGTTTGCTAAATATGGAGCAGGCAGTGATAACAGTTTGCTTGCCATCTCTATTAGGAAATAGCCTCCAAAATTTTAAGAAGGGGAAGTCCATGTGTTGAGAGAAGAGACAGGAGTTTTAGAATATTGATGTTGGAGAAGAGACCTCCAAGATTATCAAGTCCAAGCATTAACCCAGCACTGCCAGTTCACTACTAACCCAGGCCCCCAAATGCCACATTCAAACATTTTTGGAACTCTCCCAGGGATGATGACACCCCTACTTCCCTGGGAAGTGTATTCCAATGTCTGACCACTCTTTCAGTGAAGTTCTATTTCCTGCTGCCCACCCTGAGCCTCCCCTGGCCCAGCCTGAGGCCGTTCCCTCTCCTCCTGTCCCTGTTCCTGGGAGCAGAGCCCGACCCCCCCGGCTGTCCCCTCCTGCCAGGGACTTGTGCAGAGCCAGAAGGGTCCCCTGAGCCTCCTTTGCTCCAGGCTGAGCCCCTTTCCCAGCTCCCTCAGCCCCTGCTGGGGCTCCAGCCCCTTCCCAGCTCCGTTCCCTTCTCTGGGCACGCTGCAGCCCCTCAATTCCCTGTGCTGAGGGGCCCAGAGCTGGACACGGCACTCGAGCTGTGGCCTCAGCAGTGGCAGCACTGCCCTGCTCCAGCTGCTGTCACCAGCACCCCCAGGGCCTTTCCCACCTTGCCACAAACTTTTCCCCCAGCCTGGAGTGTTGAATGGGTTTAAACAAAGCAAAAGAGCGAGTGGCCAAAGGAACACGTAATGTGTGGGTGTTTCTGCCCTCGGAACCTGCTGGCGGAGCATGGCACAGAGGCTGCTCCAGAGCCCTGTCGGGCTGGCACTGAGCCTGAGCTAACAGGCTGTGCTGAGAGAAAGGGCATCAACCCAGGCTCTGTGCCATGCACAGGCAAGTTCTGGACCCAGGTTTCTGCCTGTGCTTAGAACAACACTGAGCTGTAGGGATGGACCTTGCTTTGGGCTCTGCCTTGCACACCCCTTTGCAGCTTGGTGTTTTTTGGAAGTTCAGTATTTACTCAGGTGGATGAATCCCAAAACAAACATTAATATCTGCTGCTGGAAACCATGGCTTTGGCTAAGGCTTTTTTGGTGAGCTTAATACTGTATTGTTCTTCCAACCTCCCTAACCTAATGTGAACAGTCTGTTGGCATTGATTCGACAAAAGGATTTGAAGGTGTGGCTTTAATTTGGAAATACAATAAATCAGTGTAGCCATTAATGTCTGCATAACTTCATAAACTGTTAGGTCCTAATGACAAAAGCAAAAGAAATCCTGGTTTGAGCATTACTTTTCATAATGAGTGTACCTGTCATTCCTTACCCTTTTTCAAGTGTTCTGCTGACTACATATCTATATCCAGGAACAGCAGACGTTTATGACAATAAAACATCAGACGATTTATGGTGATACTGTAGCTTTTGTAGTTGCTGCTCCTGCAAAAACACTGCAAAGTGTTGAACTGCTTAGATTTATGATTTTACCTCAGTGAAAGTTTCACACACTCCATTTTCTTTCTGCAACTGTTCTTTTCCATCACTACTTTAATGTCAGGATTTCAGCAGAGGAAAAAAGCTAAGTCTTGATCCAAATGGAAAATTGGTTTGCTAGACTGTCATTTGTGCCATCCATTCTCAGTTTTCTCCATTATGTAAACAAATGGCATTTATAAGACTCATAAGAACTTCATGGGAATGTTGCTGCTCAATTCTTCTGTTCTTTGTGGTTTCTTATGATTTCAGCTTTTATTTATAAACCAAAAAGAAACATTAATCCCAAATACAAATGATCTCCGTTGTTTCTTTTTGAACCTGCACCCCAAAGTGACACCATTTGAAAAGACGTGATCCCCTGTACTCCCCCTCTGTGCATTCTGCACTGCCTGTCCTGGCTGGGGTGCAGTGAGGTATTTCCCTGTTAACTGAGGGAATTCCAGAGCTGAGGGATAGCCTGGTTCAGCACTGTGCTTTGGTCAGCTCTCCTGGGTGGAGCTGGGGCTGCTGAAGCTCTGTGAAAATTATCACCGGTTTTTTTATTCTGCTCATTTTGTGCTCAAATTAAGTAGGCCAAAACTCTTTGGCAAAGTTCTGCTGAAGCAGGTGTAATTCCTCTTTTGCCATTATGATGAATTTATGGGGTTTTTTTAAATGCTTCTTTGTGTGTTTTTAAACCAATTCGGGACTTTTGCTGTAGGTTTTTTAGGGGCCTCCATTTGTTTTATGGACACTCCCTAATTTTAAGTTTTCAAACAAAAAGCATAATGCAGTATGAATGAAGCCATAAGATAAGATGGAAGAAAAGATTAGACAGCTGTCCTAGTTGTTTTTCAAATTAACCTTTGTAGCATAATAGGTAGCTGGAAGCGCTAACTTGAATAAAATTACTGTAATTGCCATTTCTCTCCTTTAGGTGTGCTGGGAATACAGAGCTGCTGTTGAACACACTGTGCATCAAATAAAAGTATTTTGCCAGTGATGGAATGTATTGTGAATGAAAAAATGGGATTTCTGAGGAAGAATAATTTTCTCAGTAGCATATAGATTTTCCCAGGTTAAGCTGAATAGTGGGGTATTAGTCATTGAAAGTAGAACTTCTAATGCCTAAATTATTTCTTTCGGCTGGGTCTCAAGCTCAAGACCAAAAGTTATAACTGTGAACCTGGGTGGTTTTTTTGGTTTTTTTTTTCTGTTTAGCTGTCACAACAGACAAAATTGGTAACTGTGTGCAAATTTCCAGTTAATTTGCTGTTTTAGATGCCAAATGAACTTCTGAAGTCAGATTCATATGTTATTAGCAACAAACTGTTCAGACAAAAGGTCTGGCTTGCCAGAGTCCTATTCCAATGAGAGCAGCTGATATCAAACTTAAACATGTACCCTGTTGCTGTCAAAGACCTGTCACCCATGGAATTACCCACACAGAGACTTTTGTTATTCTATTTTCTGAATTTTATATTCTATATTCTGAATAGATGCAGGTTTCTCCTGCTTGTTTTTTGAATGTCTGTAGATTTTCATTATCCATGGGTGGACTCCTGCTTATCTTAGTGATCATTCACAAGAAGACACCTTTCATCACACATAACACCTTTGTCCTGCAGTGCATATTTCTGCTACATCCTTTTTTGACAGGTATAAGTTTTCTAAACCATGACAGGATCTTGGAAATTGATGTAATTCTGTGGCCTTCCTTTGCCTTGATTATAGGAATTAACAATGCCACCTACTTGGTATCAGTATCTGCTTATATTTGGAAATAGATGATCTTTAAGGTCCTTTCTGTTCCAAACCATTTAATAATTCTGTTTCAGAGACAACATCAAGACACTGTGAGTTCACATGGGATCCTTTATCTGCTGAGCAGTGCTTGGCTGTGTGTGCATCAAACAGAGATCAAATATTTTGATCTGAATATCTGTTTAAATGTCTCACCTTAAAGCAAAAGACCTGAATTGGCTTGAATGTTTGTTTAAGTCTAGGAGTGTGAGCAGTTGTGTTCTGGCTGGGGTGGCTCTGTGTGCACAGCCCTGGGGACCTGGGAAAGGCACAGCAGAGTGCAGGAGGAGGGTGGCACGTTGGGTTACTGGATCCAGTTTTCCTTTGGCATTGCAAGTGTCCAGGTTACGTGCTGAGCCACGTGCCCAAACCCAGCAGAGAACACCCATCCTCGGGGCCAGGTGCTCTTCACACTTCACCCCTGAGATCAGGGTTACTGTTTTGTATTCTGCACTTGGTGAGGGTGAAGGGAAACACTTAATTTCAGCCCAGGCAGGAAGTCTGGGGCAGCCAGGTGCCTGCCTCACTCATTATTCAGGCCTGCAGGGCTGTCTTTGGGGCAGGCAGCTCTGCAGGATCACTGGAGGGGCACTTTCCTCACACTGGATAGCCCCTTTCCTGTTATTAATCATGGAGAATGCTTTCCTGACATCCTGGTTGCTGCTGTAATTACAGTGACCTCCCAGACAGGGATATTTTGTGTTCAAAATGGATCTAACAGCATGGCAGTGTTAGATGCTTCAGCTTCTCACCAGGAGAGGAATGAAGAATCTTAGAATATTTTGAGTTGGAAGGGACCCACTAGAATCATCCTAGTCCAGTGCTGGATATGCAGAACAAATAATTCATACTAATTTTCACTTCCATGTGTTTTCTTCTCTGCCTTCTGTGCATGCTACTCCAAAATTTTCCCTTTGTCTCAGGAGCAACCCTTCCTTTGTCAGATTCTGTAATTTAATCTCTCCTACAGTGTTTTGTGCTTTTCTCCTAACCTTTCTTGGTGTTACTAAGCCCACAGTTCAGACTGTCTCACACTGGGAGTCCTTGGCCTTTCAGCTTTTGGATATTTCTGGGTGAGGTAAGCTCTCTGCATCAAACATCCCTGGTCACCAATTAGGGAGATTTATAGATGACTCTTTTAGACTCAATTTATAACCTTCAGGCAGAGCTACCTCGGGTGATTTGAATTCCAGAAAGGATTTTAGAAAAAATATTGCTGTACCTTTCTGTGTCCACATTTGTTCCTTCTCTCTACTTGTAATGAAGTCCACTTTTATAAGAAACGTTTGAGCCACCTTGTAAAAATCTGACCTAGAAATGAAATGACACAGTACTTTCATTCTGGAATATTTCTGAATAGTTAATGAAATACTTGTGTGGTGCTAGGATATTGGGCAATTAAGAAGAACATGTACAAGCCAATGTATTCAAAAGTAAGAAATCCGAATAAACCACTCATTTGACCTGATTTTTTGTTCTTCTCCTTGGAGATAATTGGATTTAAAGGGATCAAAGTGGCAAATGGGATCCTTCTAGTTTACTTACTCTTTTGTCATAGCTTCTCAGTGAATATTTTTTTTGTCAATAAGTGAGAGCACTTTATTCTTTTCTAATTGATATTTTGGCAATACACTCTTTTCATGGGCCACATTTTCTCAGTCTCTGGTTGGTTCTGGAAATCTGAAAGTCTTACTTTTTTCCCTCTCAAAATTTTTTTTGTATGTTTTCTTTTTTAAAGCCTGT